GCCGCGGGGAGGGACGCCCCCTTATCTGCGCAGATCGCGGACGTGGTATGAACCCGGGCGCGGGAAGGCTCTGGGAGTCGGAGTTCACGGTACGGGACCGGCCGCCGGTTCTCGCGTGTTCGCGAAGCACGTTTGCACCCCAACGTGGACACAGGTTTGCCCCTCGATAGACCCGCGCACCGGAGCATGTTTGCATCCCCAACGCACCCTGTCTCAGTCTCCGGGTGGAAGCCCAAAGCTAGGAACGCACCCATTCACCAAATACCTGTACACGTGGTAGGAAACGTCTGCTTGGGATTCATTTTAAGGTTAAAAGATCATCTAGCCTCTGAAGAACAAAAACATTCTGAATTGCGGTTTCAGCGGGACTTTTTAAAGGCGGATTCACTTGAAGTTACTTTCAAATTATCTCGACAAACGTGCCCCTGTTAATATCTTGCAAAACAGTGTTACAAAAATAAACACACAGAAATCTTTGCTTTTGCGGTCCTTAAAGAGCACGGAGATTTCTCAGTTCTTTTGGGGGGGGGGGGGTTGTTTTGTTAATTCTATTGAAAGACAAATCAGTATGTTCCTAAAGCATTAAAAAAAAATTTTTTTTTAGATCCCTGGAGTCTGTTTCAAGCTGAACTGTACCCTAATGTAAATTATGTTCTATGCATAACACTAAAATGTTAGAACCTGTTGTGAATTAGGAGACCACGACATCAAAGCTAAGCGGTGCTCCCTGACTACTCAGAGTTCTCCTGGAGTGTTATCCTCTCCTCACTGCCTGCATCCTTACCTTGGTGTTATTTTGCAATGACTCTTGTTTCTAGTACAATGTGCATATTTCTCTCCCCGAGTACTTTTTAGATTGTAAAGTCTTTTGAATCTTGAACTGTACCAGCACTAAATTCAGAAAACGGTTGCTGAATTAATCTGATGAAATCCGTTGTGCATCTGGGAAGAAATTTGGATGGTAAAATACCTGGTAGAGCCGGGCCTGCAGGCTCAATGGTTGAGAATCGACCTATGAGCCAGGAGGTCACGGTTCGATTCCCGGTCAGGGCCCGGATTGCGGACTTGTTCCCCAGTGTGGGGCATGCTGGAAGCAACCGGTCAATAATTCTCTGTCATCATTAGTGTTTCTCTCTCTCCCTTCCTCTCTGAAATCAGTAACTTAAAAAAAAAAAAGTATGAAACATGCCAGACGCATTAAAAAAAAAAAAAAACCTGATAGAGGAAGCTCTAATCCAATTATTAGGTGTGCCAGTAAAATAAGAAAATGAACAAAAGGCTTGATTGCAATCTATGAGAACACAGAATTCAAGGGAAAAACTGGAGGTTTTGAAAACAGATTTAATAACATTGCAGACCAAATCCTGCACACAATCTGGATAGCTGCAGTGTTTCAACTGGTCATAGAAATCATGACTTTTAAATTAACAATGTATCTTCTGTCTTAAGAAAACTGGTCATGCAATGGGTTCAGCCTTTGACTTGCAGCAATTCTACCTTTTCTTAATTTTGGGGGGAAGCAAAACAGTTATAAACATAATTCATTATTTAACGATTGTTAAAAATATGACTTCTTTTGCAGGTTGAATATTAAGGTAAAGTAAAAGTGACTGGGAAGATTATATACCAAAAAGGAGAATCTTGTTCATTTGAAATGACCCCCTCCCTAATCTAGGTCAGAACAAGGAAGTGTATTAAAAGAAATCATTCCAAAATATCATGAATGCTATTTCTTAGTCCTTAAATGACAACAAAAAATGTAGTTCTCAGTATTACATTTTCTTGCAAGGCAAAATCTTGTAAATCCAAAGTAGAAAAGATAAAGGGCATTTCAAGTTTGAAATGAATGTGTTGATTTATTTTTTAAGCAGCTCAAAACATAAATATATATTTATTTCTTATCTTTTACTCCCTTAGGTTTGAGCATCTTCAGTTAAACTAGAAATATCATTTTAGAAAAATATATTTACTCTGTATCTACACTCCAAAGAGCAACTGAAACAACCAAGATTCTCCAATGTATCTTCAAAATTAAACACTTTTCCTTAGTGGTATATGTATTTCAAATGCATGATCACAGTTCATTCTTTTAGCTATTGGTCTTCTAACCTTGTTTAGAAAACTTTGTTTTCTAAAGTAGCAGTTCTCAACCTGTGGGTCGCGACCCCTTTGGCGGTCGAACGACCCTTTCACAGGGGTCGCCTAAGACCATCCTGCATATCAGATATTTACATTACAATTCATAACCATAGCAATATTACAGTATAAAGTAGCAACGAAAATAATTTTATGGTTGGGTCACAACATGAGGAACTGTATTTAAAGGGCCAGAAGGTTGAGAACCACTGTAAATCTAAGGGAATATCTTTTTATAATTTTATAAAGCTAATAAATATTTTCTGACTTCTTACCCAAAGGGGTAAATTAAATGTCTTATGGAATGTACACTCCTTATTTGCTATTGTATCCCAGGGCATAGAACAGTAGCTAGAACATGGTAGGCGGCACTCATTAAATATTTCTTGTTGAATGAATGTTTTTCTGTTTTAAGTGTCTGTAAAGTCCATTGAAATATGAGAGCAATCATTATTCAGATAGTATCCTGACTTTTAGAAAAGATAACCATGTCCAAATTCCAGCTTGCTTGTCGTCGGAAGGAATAAATGATTTCTAACCTTAAGTTCATATAAACACTACTTAGTGAAGAGCCAATGAATGCAAGCATTAAGAGAACCTCTCTCTCTTGCTATTGTACTTTAAAACTGCTTGCATGGCCCTAGCTGGTTTGACTCAGTGGATAGAGCCTCCGCCTGAGGACTAAAGGGTCCCGGATTCGATTCTGATCAAGGGCACCCATACCTTATTTGCAGGTTCCGAGGCAACCAATCGATGTGTTTCTCTCACATCATCTTTCCCTCTCCCACTCCCTCTAAAAAAGGGGGGAAAAAAAGCAATGGAAAAATATCCTCCGTGAGGACAACAAAACAAAAATAAGACAAAACTGCATGCTTACAGGAAAATTTATAGTTGTTCTTCTTCAACTTTGTACTCTCTTTATTCCATGCAAAACATCCATTTCCACATAATGTCATATTAGTCCTTGTGCAGACCAATAAATTTTGTTGTATGAAATGAAACTTTCCTTGTGATGTGCTTTTAACTGGGCCAAGACTGGAACTGGAAAACGTGTGAATCTTTAAGTAAAATAACAGTCATTTCCCCAAATATCAAAGTGAACGTCCTCCAGATGTGGGGCGTGAATGAGGGAATGTAAATAAGAGTGAAGAACAAACCCATTTACTTCAAAGTGTAAATATTATCCGTCGTTTGTCGCCGTAGTAACAAACGTTCCAATGTAAACAATCCATTTCGAATGGCAGAACAGCTCCATTTAGCCTCATTTGTTGTACTGATATATCACAAGATGCCCTCCGGGTCGCTGGAAAGAGCACCACTGCGGAGAATACCCAATCCAACTTCACAAAAATTGGATTGGCCCGAAATATTACTGGATTGCATGTAGGAATTTTAAGTAAACTCCCAAAGGCCTTGATTGCAACATTGTTGGGTCACGAACACCCCGAATCACAATCCTAGAACTGCGTCCGACAGACCTGCAATGTAATTATTTTATGTCTACACGGTGCGCTCTACACATATGGCAACAGGACAGCCCCGGAGTAATGGGTGAAACCTGAATTAATAAATGGGAGGAAACGCGGAGCCCTGCCCTGGCCCAGCGTCGGCAGAGACGTCACGAGGCTGAGGCTAATTTACAGAGGCGCCGACCAGACAACCGCGCACCTTGGGGAAGACGGGGCGCGCGGACTGCAGAGGAGGACAAGCTGCAGTGACTTGGCAGCAGTGGTTCTCGGGTGATGCACACAGAACCGCTGCGGCGCAGGCCGGGACCGGCGGACAAAGGCGGGGTGGCCACGCCCACCAGGCGGAATCTCTGACGTAAGGGGCGGGCCTGTGCGCGGGCCCGTCGTCCAGGCAACGGGAGTCTGTGCCTCGGCTTTTAAAAAAGCCTCAAATCTGGGAGTTTGGGGTGCGGAGAGGAGCCACTGGGGAGGGGAGGCCGAGACAGCACAGGGAGAGACCCCAGGACCCCGGAGACGCCTGTCCGGCTTAGGTCTAGGTGTCTTTCCCGAAGTGAAGGAGCGGAGTTTGAGAGCAGATTTCAGAGCTCAGGCTGCAAGGGGTCGAGGTCACTCGCCCTCTGCGAGGGCCCGGCCGGAAGCAGTTCCCCTCGCGGGCCCCTTTGTCTCCAGGCCGCTCTGTGCTGGGCTCTGGCCGGTGA